GCCCTCCAGGAAAACACCACCACATGCCCAGTCAAACACAACCGTCAAGCATGGTCTTTTCTAACATGCTGCTCTAAAAGAGCCAACGTTCACTTTAAAAGTCATTTTCAGGCATTTAAAGGAAGGGACAAATCTGTGGTTTTTAACACACTTGCCAGGTCACCAGTGGAAAAAAAATGCTTTTTCTCCCCCCTGCACTAGAAGGTTCAAAATTTCACGGAGGGGAAAAGCCTTTGTCTTCACACAAAAAGGGGTATAACTCACCCAGACTCCAGGGCTCCACTGACAGTAGTGGGGCAAGCAAGGGGGGCAGCAGTGTGGGGTTGTGCCCCTCACTGCTGCCGTGCACAGGGGACGCATCACCTCTGCCCTGCTGCACTGGGTTGTGCCCACTGGGTTGTGGAGGCCCCAGGGGATGGCAGCAGGGCGGGAGCTCGAGCCTGCAGCAGGCAGCCTGCCCCACTCCTGCCCCGCACACAGATCTGGGGGACACAGATCCCTTTTGCCCCCTGGGAACGTGTGCAGCAGTGGGGAGCTGGCCTCACTGCCCACTTGATAAGCTGCCCACACTCCTCCCGCTTCCTGCTGGGGCCCTGCAGCAGCACATTTTGGCCACGGGCACCAAGACCCACGCACTGCCCAGCTGGGCAGCAGCCTCTGCCCTGCCCAACTCCTTCCCTCCCTCCCTATGGGGGCCTCAATCCGCGCCCCCCCCCACCCCCCGACCCCTTTACCTGTGGGAGCTGCTCTCCAGCTCTCCAGGCTGCTTGGTGGCCATGTGCATATATGTGCATGTGGTGCCCCCTGCCTGACCACCCCCCCCTCCTGTTCCTCCCACCCCTTACAGGCTGGAACTCTGCCCATCTGCAGGGAGCTCGTTGCAAAACTGCAAAATCCACAGGTTTTTCTGCTAAAATGAGAAATCTGCGTAAAGGGAAAATCCGCATTTTACTCTATTTTTCTGTGGGAAATGGAAAACCTGGATCCTTGCTCATCCCCTGCTGCTGACATGTCCCCAGTGTGGCTCTGCACCCTGGATTTTGGCAGTAGGCCTTGCCCTCCTTGGCATCCCATGGGTTAGATTAGGGGTTCTCAATCTTTTTCTTCCTGAAGCACCCCCCGCATGCTATATAAACTCCATTACCCATCTGTGCCACACCAACTGCCTAGCTCCCCAGCCCCGCATGCATGGCCCCAGGTGCAGTGGGCAAGGCTCAGCCTCCCACTCACCTGAGCAGCAGCAGCATGGAGCCTCGCCCACCTGCCTGCAGCACCACCCACAAGATGGAGACTGGGGGGAGTGGGGTGGACAGGGCTGAGGCAGCTCTTCTCTGCACCGTGCTGGCTTGTGGCCCTCCAGGGGGCTGCAGACCCTGGTTGACAACGGCTGGGTTAGATGATATGGCTCTGTAGGTCATGTTTGATATCCCTGGTATGAAGGCTGTATGCATCTCTGGTATAGCAAAGTCAGAAGTTCTCTCCCATTGGCTGCAGAACAGTATTTCTGTGTCTCAGGTCAACTAGTGCTGAGTTAGACTCTGGCTGTGTCTAGATGAGCGTGTTCATGTGGTACATGGTGCTGCAGACATGTCTGCAGCACCACATACTGCATATTCTGTTCTCCACACTGCAAGGGAGCAGTGTGGAGGGTTTTTTTGACCCCTGGACATCCAGGGGTCAAAAAAACCCGCAGAGAAAAAAAGTGGAGTTGTGCATGCCACTTGAAGCCAGAGCCTGGCCAGCTGGAGCCACACTCCATTACTGGCCAGGCTCTGTGCATCAGGATCACTGCTGCTGCAGCCCTGGGTGGCCCCCAGAACCCCAGTGCTAGGTCTGGCCCCAGCCTCCCATACCCCACCTGGGGTAACTTGCTGCATGCACCTGGCATGGGTGCTCCCCAGGGACAACTAGTGATTGCACAAGGTGTGCTACCGCTAGTTGTCCCTGAGGAACCAAATGTCCATGCACATCAGGATGCAACCTCAGAAGCTTATTTTCAAAGGTCTTTAGAGCTCAGCCCTGTGGAGAAGAAAGGTTTGGCCACCAGCTAGTAGCTGTTCACAGTTAATGGAAAACATGCTGGGAAGTGATCCTGCAATGTCACCCCAGGGGCAGCCGCCTATGGCAAGTTGCCAAACGACAGCATTCAAACCCCTTGACATAAAATTGAGGTTATTCATAACCATGAGGGGTTTCAAGCCCTATTTTATTTGACTTTCTAAGAGTACGGCATAGTGGTTTTCTAAGATCTCTTAAGGGTGTTACCTAATACTGTATTTACTCACATACCCCACTCATCTTTTTCCCCCAAAAACTTAGCCTTCCAAATTGAGATGCATGTCTTAAGTCAGGAAGCTGATTTTTCCTGCCCATTACAGAACCATGGAGACACAGCAGGATGGTTGCTGCTGCTCCTTCTTTCTCTTCCCTCCAATAGCCGCATGGAGGAGTGTGGTCCAGCAAGGACAGATGCGGGGGGTGCAGTGGTGGATTGCACCTCCTTTGTCTCCTGTTCCACCCAAAGTTTAAACCAACTGCCAGCAGCACCGTTTCTGCTCAGGCAGTGCCAAGGGAGTCAGTTGACTTCCTGGCTTTTTACAATCTACCCAATTCTTGCTAATTTATCTTCACTCTGTATGTGTTAATGACCCTCTCTCATTTTTAATGGTCTTGCTAGTCCACTAATCAAGCTATCCCTTGGTTGATAACTTTGCTCTTTTAGCTACCTCCAGTTTATCCAATTTCATAGCTCTGCAGATTTTTAGCTCTTTCCCAAATCCTATACCTGGAATCCTGTCTTCAGCCACAGCTATGGTTTCAACTTTTGGTTAAGCAGCTAAGAGCTGCTGACAATTCAGCTAGGAAAGGGTTAAAGCTGTATCTTCTGTAGAAGCAGGGAAGGAAGAGTAAGTAATCTGAAAGCTTGGCTCTCCCTGATCCATGTGGGCATAATACTGGAAAATGTTTCTCCTTCACTCTGCCTTCCCAAAAACAACGTGCATGTCTTATTTGGGGAAAAGGGGGCAGGAGGAAGAAGGGAGGTGGTATGTGGAGAAAATATGGTATTGGCTTAAGGTGTACAATTATCTATGTAATAGGTGCAAGATAAAAACAGAGATTTCTAATAGGACTCAGAGTATCACAGGTCAAAAACTTTCTGAGCTATTATGGTCTGAGGTCTTTTCGACATAATTGTTTTTTTTCTACTATGAAAAAAATAATAGGAGTGAAAGCTAGGTGCTGGCATTTTCCAAGGTGTGTCTTGAGTGTAAAAGGTTTGGAGCACTGGTTTAGCATGTACACAGATCACAAGCCCTGAAGCCATGATGGCAGGGAACTTTTGAGAGCTACAATTGGGCAAGAAGCTCATGCCTCCAAAAGCTGAGGCTTTCTGAAAGCCACCAAAAATTACAAGAGTTGACAACAGGTCAAGATGATCCCGATGTAACATACCCCTAATCTTCTCAAAGGGGGTGCTGAGTTTTAAGAAGATATTTGCAACAGTTCAAAGAGGTGTAGCCGTCTCCATTGACAGTTTCTTGCCTTGTTCTTTACAGACAGAGGCATCTGCATGAGAGCAGAATGTCCTGCTCCTGAAGCATCTGCTCCTGCTGTTCATTCTCCACCTGAAATCACACAAACCCTTTGTTTAAGGCTCCTGTGGTGAGACAGTACAGGGCACTTGCAGAACCCGCCTGAAAAACAAAGAGGCATGTTTTTCTCACTCTTCCTTGACCAGGCTTTTACCCCATGATGGGGTTTTTCCAGGATTCAGCCACCATCTGCTTTCCCTCCTCCCATCCCCAGCAATCACTTGAGTTGCTGAAACAGGCTAGTCTGCTAGAGTGAAAACATGATCCTGGAGAATGGATCAGGCTGGAGGGGGTTACCTAGTAAGGCCTCTACTCCTCTGTGTGAGACAAGGGGCAAAGAGCTGGCTAAGGAAGAGCACCCTCTGCTCCAGAAGTCTCTGCTTTACTCTGGGACCTAGGAGCTCCAAGTTTAGACTACTCTGTAAGCCGGGAGCATAGGCATGTTTGTGGTACCATTATTATGACCCTACTGTTCACTCTGGAACATAAGGATCAATGTTTTTCATCTTCACTTGAACAGCAAAGGTGGTGAATCTAACCCTGAGATCACAAGCCAGCACCTACCCTTACTCTGCATACCCCTTATGAAATTGTTTGAATCTAAGATTAGGAGAAAAATGAAAATCAAATTGCGCTAAAAGCCAAATCTCACCCCCAGGTGCAGATAAAGCTGGAGTCAGTGGTGTTGTTCTAGAGACACTGAGATAGGATAAAGGATAGCCAGGTCTTAAAGAGTCTGGGCAACAGAAGGTCTTGCACAGACCTGACATGAGACTTCTGGGGCTCCTATGCATATGCAGGGAGTCAGCGCCAACATGCTGGAAATTCAGCATGTTGGAGCAGACTCACTTAATCAAGTCTGCTAGAGCACGGAAATAAACACGCTCCAGCAGATTTTGGCATCATGTGCACCAGCATCCCCACGCTGAAAAATGGCAGTGGGGCACTTTGAACTAAAGTTAATTCGATAACCCTTCGTTCAAAGTGCCCTGCCATCATTTTTTAGCGTGGGGTATGCTGATACACATGACACTGGCACTTTTTATTAAAAACACTCACTAATTAAAGAGCCCCCCCATAGCCCTCTGTGTAACAATATCTCTGGTGACCAGCAACTGGTGCATGCAAGTTTTATGCCACTTATAATGGATAGGAATCATGGCTTTACTGAGGGCATGCACAGCTGCAGACAAGTGTTATCAAGAGCTGAGCTCATTACAAGTAGATCTAGCAATGTTTTTCTTAAAGTCTTGGCACCTGGAGTCAAGGGATTATGTAAGAAGCTGAAGGCCCTTCAAAACAAGTTTCTAGTGTCAGAGGTTGTAGAGAGGAAAAACAAAATGTGAAAACACAGACCCCCAAACTAAAAAGACAAAAGAAGTCAAGTTTTAAATAAGAACAATTCCTTTTTTAAATTCATGTGATTTTCCACATCCTGCTTGGTAGCTTAAAACCAAACAAAAACAAGCTTTAATTTATATAAAACAAAACATGTATAACAATTGAACAACACTGACTGTACAAAGGAATTAAAAAAGGGGGGGGACAACAGTCCAAAAGAATACAGGAAGAATGGTACAACTGTTAGACAGCAGCTACAGACTAGTGTTGATATCAAATCCCCAAACCATGTACTTTTAAAATTAAAAGTAAAAAAGATGAATTCATCTTTGATCAGCAGATATTCCAGAGAAGTGATTTTTTCCACATTCATTCTGGACAAAATTTGCTGAAATGTTACAAGAATAAAAGTTAACTGTGGTAGAAGAGATGGGAGTTTTCAGTCTTTTTAACAAGAACCAAGCACAGGTAGTTAAAGTGTTTCTAAACATGCAGCATCTTCTCTTTTGCACCATGAAATCCTCATCTCCTCCCCACCACCGGAGCATGTACCAGACAGGAGAGAGTAAACAGGCAATTTGCAGCTTGGAAGCGGGAACTACAATTCATTGTCTAAAGGAAACAACATTCATTCAAGAGCAGTTTTCAAAAGAGGTTTTTCTACAGTTTCTCCCCGCCAACTGATGGATGGTGGTTTGGGCTGCTTCACATCACCTGTTGGCCATATATCTCCAGATTGCCAGTCAGTGATTGTCTTCTGCTCCGGGATAAGTGATTTTGAACAGGTGGTGGTTGTTCTACAGACAGGTTCTAGAAATCCCCTGGCCTCTATACCGGGAAAGGATTTCCCCTTGCCCTTGGCTTATTCTCTCCTCTCATTTGAGCCAGGCAATAAAACATGCCATTGATGATCTGGGAAACCTAAACACAGGGGCATGGGCTTAGGGTTTGGAGACTCCTTCATTTACAGGCCCTCTCAGAGAAGGGAAGAAAAAGGCACAGGAGGAAGGTTTGCTATGGGAAAGGGCTGTGCTAGCCAAGTCCCCACTGCTGCCTGCCTTTTAGTTGCTGCTTCCATGAAGCGGGCATTCAGCCATGCGAGAAGTGCAGTAGCTTCATCCTGCCCATATGGCTGTTTGAGATGCCAGAACAAGCCTGTCCTTGGGTAAGGAGAAAGGTAGTTAGTGCTCTATTGTTTTGGAGCGGATACAGGCCAGGGTGAGAGGGAGGTGCAATAATGGTAGAGCAGAAACAGAAGAGTTCATCCAGCCAGATGGTCCGAAGTCATTTCAGACTGCATGTGCTCGTGGCTTACAAGAGCTTGCTGCCACAGCTTGGTCCAGTCAACTCCTACTACGTTGCAGTTGGCCTCCACAGTCCTCTTTAGTGAGGGGTGGGTGGGCACTAGAACTAGTTTTCACAAGGGCTTCAGGCACAAGATGTCACAGCCAGAGGATCCAGCCAGGAAAGCTACTGCCATAGCATTACATGGGATATCTGCCATACTATGCATCTCTTTCAAAATATGTGTTCTCTTAGAAACCACAAAAACTGTGTGGAAATAGAACAGGCTCCAGCAGCAACTGAAGCAGTAACTAAGACTGTCTATGGGCAGAGCTGAACAGCTTTCCCTTATGCAGGCAAACTCCAAGTTAGCAAGGCTTAAAGGAGTTACTAGTGCCCCAGTCCTCATCACTTCACTCTCCAGCATAAGCAACCACCTCTTCCCCATCTAGAAAAGAAACAGCAGGCAGTGGTAGGAGATGAGAGACATGTTCTTTGCAAAAGGTGGAGGAGGTATACTTTAGGGGGGAGGAAATGACCCAGAATTCAGGGCCTGCTCAAGATCCCCGTTTCTTTGGGTGCTAATCTTAGTTTAGGAGCAGGTGAATAAACCTAGATAGCAAGATGAAGGGGGATAAAGCAGATCTGAGAGGGGGGCGCTGGGATGGTGCTGTAGCACAGTAGGTCAGCCATGCACCCCTCCTCAGGCCCAACAGCAAGTGCCTTTTACCTTTACATTCCCTTGCTTCTTGATGCTTGTCCTGACCAAACCCATGTGCTGGAAGATGCTGCCTGTTGTGGGGAAGTCACCCTGGTACCAGCCAACTTTGGAGGTCTCCAGTACTAGCCATGACCAAAGCTTTGCCTTGAGGCTCCAACATAAGAGCTGCACTCTTTTCTGCTAATGGAAGATGACTAGTCAGACTCCCTGGTCTATCCCTCTCCAGTTAACTCCCCACTAACCTCAGCTACTCATGATCATTAAATCAGGAGAGTCTGGGAAGATGGCCACTGGGTACAAACTGCTCTTTTCTTTTGCATACATAGTATTGAAAAAAAAGTGGAACAAGTCTGCGTGGTTCTTTATACAGTCTCTTAAAGTGTTTGTATATTTTCACCTTAAAATTTGCAGATCTGTCCCCGCCCCCCCTTCCCACTTAGCTAACGCACTGGACCAGCAGTTCAGTGCTTCTATTTACATGGCTGCATAAAATTTTTCCCTGACTGCATCTTGGAAAAAAAACCCTTAAAAAAAAAGAATTGAGATATATATATATATTTATATAATATTTATATAAATAAGTGAAAAGGGCAAGCAGACTGCCTCCTTTGGATTCCCAGTCAGCTAATTTTTGCCTCTTTTGGCAATGGCAAGCCAATGTCATGGCAGAACTTACAATTGTGCCCTGACCCCATTTACTCTAAAAAGAACTGTCCAATATTCACTATAGCACCAGCAATCCGTTGGGAGTCCAAGAGTTAAAGTTGCAGCATAGACTCTCCCTTGCCTACCCCCTAAGCCTCTTGATCTCCCGTTAAATCTATTCCTCAGCCAAAACAGGCTGGGCTCATCCCTCCCCCAGCCCAGCAGCTGCTGAGTTTGCCACCAAGACCAAGAGGAAAAGCCCAAAGCGTTCTGAAGATTCCCTTGGCAGAGTCCTCTCCTTCCAGCGACGCTGGATCCAGCTGATGTGATGCTTGGGGTGTTGGGCCCAACACGAGCGCGTTCCCAGCACTCTGTGTGCCATTTGAAAAATGCCCAAGGAACGTCCAAAAGGATCTGATGGAGAAGGGCTACATGTGCAAACATCTGTACATCAGTGGGGCGGTGTGGATGTGTTTGGAGCTGACAGCCTCTCTGCCTCGCTAAGAGATCTTGCAGTTGTTGCGTGAGCAGTTCTGTGGGGGGCTTTGTGGTGGACGGATGGATTTGGATCTCTTCAAGCTGTTCCCTTTGCTGCTACTCCCACCCCCACTGCTGGCCAAGGAATACGACCGCCCGTGCATCATCACTGCATTCATCCCATTGGCCATGGAGAAAGATTTCAGGTGACTTTTGATGGTGACAGGCAGCGGCAGCTTGTCGATGAGGTGGACTGGAGTGCAGGAGACGATTGCACGGCAGCAGAGGTCCTGCAAGCTGAACACTGCCGGGAGAGAAAGTTTACCATGGTGAAGCAGCAAACATCAAGGGATGTACCCACAGAGAAGCTCCTCCTTGCAGCTGCTCCCCATCATGCTCAACTCTTGTTTCTTACAGGTGGGAGAAACTAGTAATGGCCAGAAAGCAGGTCTCATTAAACAAGGACCTCCCAGATGATAGTCCCAACCCTTAATACTTGATGCTCTGCATCCTTCGCAAGCTCATCTAGGGCGCTATGAAGCTTCACTGTCAGTGCCTAACAAGAGGGCCTTTGCCATCAGGCTGCATATGCCCTCCAGCCAAATGCTCCCCCTCACCTCCATACCAGGAGGCCACAAAGGCCATATTCAGTGTAAAAGTAGGCAACAGGCTTGGAAGGCAGAGCCCATTCTCTTTTGGGGCCTGTTTAAATTTGCATCAGTTTAGGGGCAGGTGCTCCTGAACTCTGACCCCACAGGTGGGGGGCTCAGCCTGGGGCAGCTGCTCTCAACTTGCTTGGTGTGGTACAGTGGCAGCAGTGGCTTATTACAGTGGGCAGGCAGGACAGCTACTTGGTACACTGCATCATGCCCAGTCCTGTATGGGCCTGGCTGCCAGTGGCCACAGTACCAGAACTACACATTGGCAACAGGAGGCCAGGCAGGGGAGGGTGGTGAAGGAGTCTGCACACTGTGTGGCCCAACCCAGCTGCAGCAGAGTGGAACAGCAAGGGGTGCAGCCCTCCCTCAAGCTCCTGGCAGCAGCTGGCACACCAGATAGTATCAACTGGCATCTCCCTGGTACACCCTCCCCACCTCAAACTCACCAAAATTCCTTAAGTGGCCCTCCAGCCCAAATAATTGCCCACCCTTGGTGTAACTGCTCACTCACACAACTGTGTTGTGAGCACAATAGTTAGTAAGCTACTTCCTTATAGGTGGCCACATGGGGGCACACTCCCATCTTTGGTCTGGGCAAGGATTCAGGCAGCAAAGCCACTAAGCCATTCTGTGCATGGGGCGGAAGACACTGACAGCAGTTGTATGTCCTGCCCCTGGACAGTGGTCAGCAGGGATCTGCAGTGTGCAAATGACTTCAACTTTAAACAAACATCAGCAGCGGTTCTGTAGGGCAGCAGAACTAGCAGCCTAGCTCCGACCCAAGTCAGGTGTGTGCTGTTGGCTCTCCACCCCAGGAAAAACACTTTCCACATAAAACTAGGTATCCCACTGTGTGTAGGTGCACTGCCTTGCACCTCTTATGTAACCTGGGATTTGAATCCTAAATTACACTAGATTCTGCAAACCCTCCTCCTGCCCCTTCTTCCAGCAGCTACACTGATCCCATGGAAATTGTGAATTGGCCTCACTGTAGGCAAAGCAAGCAACTCAGTGCTCTTTGTCCCCAGAAGGCCTAAATTCAGCCTGACCCACCACGTGAACACATGCAACCCACTATGACAGACCAAGCGTAACTGCTGGTATTATGCATACCATGTTGATGTGTATCGGACAGGGCATCTCTGGTGCTAGCCACACACCCCCTCCTCCCCCAAGCACATGCACTCCCACTCAGGGATGGATTACCCAAGCCTGATTCAGGTCTGAACTAGAACTTCAGCGTGACATCAGACTCAGTGTAAGCTCAGCAAGCTACCTCAACTCCATGCACTCAATGGCTACAGTGCATTACAGAATTCACTTTGATTAGTGAATGGCTAGATACCAGGGGCTGAATCTGGTCTCCTGGACTATTTCCAGATCTGACACTAACCCACTACATGACCTAGGGTGCACTATGTGCTGCCTGTCTCCGTTTTCCCTACCTGCGAGGCAGGACACCATGTTTCCCCGAGGTCACAGTGGTGGGTAGGGAGTGAGGCACTTGAGCACAGTAAGAAAGTTTCACAATAACCTTCACAAACATATGCATCT